CAGTGACCCCATACACACACACACACACACACACACACACACACACACACACTCACAGCTGATCAACTTCTGTCAAAAATAACCCCCCATTCACACTCCTCCTATTCCGTACCTCCACCACGTCCTCCTCGTCCCCTTTACCCTTTAAATCCTGCCTGCTCATTGTCAAACCTCCCCGTCTTACTGCACCGGCAGACTATGTGAATCTGTGTGTGTGGGTGTGTGTGTGTGTGTGTGTGTGTCCTTGTCAGGTCAAAAGCAACATGATCCAGCAAGAGAGGAAGGAAAGAAGTGAAACACCACCGGTTCCACCCAGACCGTCTAAAGAGGTTTGCAAGCAGTTTAACACAACTGCCGCTCAGTGACATGTAGTCCAAGTGAGACACAAGTCATTGTGCTCTGTCTGTTATATTGTGTTGTTAAGGCTGTGATCTCTCCACAGGAGATGAAGAGGACGTCTACATCTGGCAAAGTAAAACCAAGAGGAACTGAGGATAATCTGGTTAGTAATGTGGGTGTTGTCTGTATATCTCTGCTTACTCAAAGTTTGAATGTACGTCAGTTAGAACACAAGTTAAATCAGATAATGAGCAAGCATCAGGCATGGAAAGCTACATACTACGCTTTTAAATGTCTTTGTGAAGAAGATCACCTTCTCATAAATTGGGTATCAGGAAAGAAAATTCCTTATCTTGTCCTCTGCAGGATAACATGACCTCCAGAGAGGAAAAAGCAAAAGCAGAAGAATCTCCCGTAGTTCCAGCCAGACCGACAGAAGAGGTAGCTTAAGCTCCCAGTGTTTAGGGAATAATGGCTGTTTGTGTCCGTTTTGAGCTGATGTGTATCAGTGTGTATCGATGTATATGAGGGTTTATCAGCTTTGTGCTTAAGGAAGTGGCTCTGGTGTGATTGCAGGAGCTGAGCAGAGCAGCGAAACATAGTCAGCAAAAGCAGAAGAGCAACCATCAGGTACTGACGTGTACAGAACGATGCGTTGGTGGATATTTTGGACCAGTATTTGCTTAAAGTCTAAGCTGTTGTTACTTGACTTGGATGTTTAACCTTCATTGTGGTTAATCTTGTATGTGCAGAGTTGTAGAATCCTGTTTTCACATTTAGTAGCTGAAGGAGGAAAGTTTCTGTACCAAGCTTAAATCTGAGTTAACACATTTATGTACGAGCAGGATTTTGACGTCACAGATAGTTTGGAAGCCAGTCGTCGTCCAATATGCAACATATAATATAAAACCTTCAGTGCACATTCAGTCAATGGACTTTTCAGTGAAGTTAAGCTGAAAATTATTTTTGTATTTATTATGAATTTTAAATGAGCAAAAAGGGAGTAAATGTAATTTAAAAAAAAATTTTAACGAGGCAATTTAACTTTTTTGTGGAAAAGCCATAGCAGACACACATTAGTATTTTTTTTTGTGTCATAAAACATGTCTGAAGGGGATCTAAAAAGTAATCATAGAAAATAATTTTATGAAGGACCCTGAACTGTTTTGCCAGTGTATACATATAGAAAACACTTGTTAATTCAGTTAAAATCTAATGAGTTTAATTTCCTGCAGAGCCAATCAGACGATGAAGGCCTCAACAAAGATAAAAACACAGTAAGTTCATCTCTATCTTCACATCAAAACTGTATTAAATTCTAAGCTTTAATGTTAAATAACGTATGTAGTAAGTATTTACTGTATGTGTGTATTTATGAGTCTGAGAACTTCATCTGTGTGTGGGTTGAATCCACATTTCCAGCTACATGCGTCTGAAAGCAAAAACAAAGAGCTTTTCGCCGCAGTTATTTTGCTCTGATCTCATTATTCTAGTTCCTGCTTCCTTCTTATATACCAGCCATTCAAATGACTTGTGGTACCTCCAGGCCTTTGTCAGTGTGAGGTTTGCAAAAGATCATGTGGATTATTAGTCACAAGGCAAATCAACCCCGTCACATAAGGTTTTTCCCACCTTTATTTTCCCCTTCAGTAGCTTTTCATGTCATTAAAAAGGTCTTATTCTGTGCAGTCTGTCAGTGTTATATATTCTGTATTATATTGTTCTTGATGTTTACATTGAGTGAAATATTATTATATTACATTTGAGAAATATTTTGCATTATTTTATACAGAATTCTGAATATATTGGGTATCTAATGCTAGTTTCTTTAAGCATTAACTTGCTGCTGCTTGTTACGGAGTGGAGTGGAATTTGTGTATCTTTCAGTGATAGGAGCAGATGGTAGTTGGGTTAGACTGCAACTATTTTTGATATACCGTCAATAAAAATATAGTTACCTGTGTGTTTGAGAGAAGAAATGTGACATATTGGCAGAGGGATGCTGTAGCATATTAAGCACATGTCACTAAGGGCTGTAATGAAATGTAGTTCTTCCAGTTTTTGCTTCTCATGTCACCGAACACATTGTCATTTCTTGTACAGACCGAGATGAAAAAACAAAAGCACCATAACCCGTTTATGCAGCGTGCTGCAGCCAAGGTATCTGACTGTGTGCTTCTCTCATGACTTTGCAATTCATGTCATCACTATTCGTCATGAATATGCCTACCTCATTTGGTTTTATGTACTAAACTTCTCCCCCTCACATTGTTTTTGACAAAGGCTACACAATGTTAGATTTTAAATGTGATTTTAAATTAAGAAAAGGGTTCTTATGCAACCTTGTGTGTCTTCAGGCTCCGTCTGATGATGAAGGGCTGAAAGAAGAAGATGATTCTTCATCAAAAGAGGAGAAGAAAGATGAGGAGGGCAAAGACAAAACAGAAGAGGTTTTTTAACTCATCTTTCGCCTGCTACATTTTTGCTTGTTGGTTGATTCAACTGTTTCATATCAGAATTTGACATTCTTCTGAGTAACACTGTTATCCTCTTTTGCCTTGTTAGACCAAAGTCAAGAAACCTAGGAGACACAATCCCTTCATGCCTCGAGTCAAGGTAACATTCAAACATGCGACATGTACAAACTTGTTTCCTCTTGTGTGGACAATGTCCATTTGTTTAAACAACACTACCGGAATGTCTTTCCACACACCAACTAACTGCACTCTGGGCTCACTGAGCTGTCCATGTCTTTGAGGACAACACTGACTCCTTACATCCTAAAAAAAGCTAAATCAGTGGATCTGTATCAGTCTGGAGCCTGTTCCGCAGACACTGACACATGTTTCTGCATGTCACTGAACTGGAGAAACTAGAATTTGAGTAGGCTGATTAAGGCCTATGTCACACTACATGTCAATGTCCTGAAGTGCTATACACCAGATCCACCCATATATGCTCGATAAATAGTCAGTAACATTTAATTTACATTCATTCAGGCAAACGCTGACAGAAAGGCTAAAAAAAAATGACATTTCACACAGTGTAAAAAAGTTCTTGTCAGCGAAGTTGAGACAAAAGACGTGGTTCCCATCCCCCTTAATGAAACTGGGAGGAATTATTGGGGGAATCTCTCATGAGTAAAATTGGGTAACATTTCTAAGGTGTGTGCTCACCTTCTGATGAGTGGCGTAGTGACAGGGTGGAGTGGGTGGGAACACAGATGTGCATGACATACAGGAGGACTTTGTATTTCCTTGTTTGAAATTAGAGTAATTTTATAGTTAAAGTTATTTGTTTCCATACCTCTTGTATCTTTACAAGCAACACATTTAAAACAGAGAGATAAAATGAACTCAAAGCCACAAAAAATAAAGACATAAAACACTATAATAGACCTATATGATATATGGCAACAATATATGACTGTCGTGTCCAAAACAGTATCAGTGTGAATTGTGCTATGGTTCACCTTTTATAATTTACGAGAATATATTTCATAACAAGCTAGTATTGTTTATTGATTACAGAACAGATTTGAGGGGTTCTTTTGAAATAAGATATATCGCTGGATGCATTTATCATCCTAATTCATAATGTTAGAATTTGCATTTTATTTTGAATTAGGAAGGGGTTCATATGCAACCTTGTGTTAGTGTTTTTTCTATGGGTACTTCTTCTACAATTTCATTGTTATGTCCATGCTTTGATTGTTGTTTACTTCAGGCTTCGTCTGATGATGAGGGGTTGAAAGAGGAAGAAGAATCTTCATCCAAAGATGAGAAGAAAGATGAGGAGGGCAAAGACAAAACAGAGGTTTATCAACTAATTTCCTTCTAAAACATTTTTGCTGGTTGCCTGATTGAACTTTGACTTTTACAATGATAGTCAGGAACAAAAGTAAATTTTACTGAGTAACACTGTAATGCTGATTTTTCTCTTTAGACCAAAGTCAAGAAACCTAAGAGACACAATCCCTTCATGCCTCGAGTCAAGGTAACATACAAACATGACATGTACAAACTTGTTTCCTCCTGTGTTTTTCTTTGTCCTGTGTCTGGAAATTTCAGGATGCTAATTGAAAATATGCAGTGTTGCCATGTTATTTTAGCAAAGTTAGTAAGTCTGCATAGCTGAAATTCCAAGCACATACTACCTTCATAAGAAAACCACTGGTTACCTAGCTGCTGATTCAAAGGGACGATTAAAAATCATAAGTTATGCCGTTAATATTTTGACCAGAGTTGCTTTTTGTTTCGCTTTTCAGTCACTTTTACCTGAACAGTTCTGCCTCTGAGTATTGATTAAGCTTCAACTGTGTGTTTGTGTTGACTGGTTTCAGGGCAGACAGAAGCAGGATGGAGCTGCAGGCACAGCCGAGGTAGAAAAAATAAAACACTCTAAATGAGACAGAAAATTGTATTTAATGTTACTCCTCTGTCTTTCTTTCCTTCTTTGACCCCTCACACACATTGAGCTTTCCATTTAAAGCAACTGTTAACCTTTTCCCTCCCAGTCTGTCACTATAATTGTCCAACTGTCCTAGTCTTACTCACTGTGGTTGAGGGTTACAAAAGGTCTGTTTCAGTCACCCGACCCATCCCTGAAAACAACCTCCTTCTTTTGCTTGTCTCCAAGGTGTTCGTTGGTCGTCTGTTCCCAACAGAGACTATTATAGTCACGTGTTGTGTTTTGTTTTTACTCACTCTTGACATGAAACCCACCCACACGCCCTGACTCCGCCACATGGTGTTTGTGCATGCCCTTAGCATGGAAGATGATATGAGTTTAGGTTGCAATTTGCCCAGACTTGTTTTTTTGCTTCCTATTTCAACGTGTCCATGGAAGATTTGAGACATTTTTACTTCTGCAAAAACAGCAATAAATAAGTCAGTACAGCCGGAATCCCTTTTACCATAACTTCCTCCTCTTTATCTGAGTGTATACAGCATAAAAAGTGAAACTGAGGATATGTGACAGTAATAAGTTTATTTGAGTTCTTTGTTTGTTTCTCAGTCTTTATGTCTTTCTGAGCTACACTTCAGCTACATTGTAGACCCACTTTCTCCTTTACACAGGATATAAAACATCTATGAATTATTTTTAGGCAGTATTATTTCTGGGTTTTTTTTTTTAGAATGAAGGTGGCAACAGATCCTTGTTTGACCGGCTGGAAGACTTCCGTATTGATCCAGCACAGCCTGAAGATGGACAGGTTGGTTTCTGAAGCAAAATATGTCACAATTGTTGCATTTCAATATATAATCTAATGCCACATTATTAATTGTTTGGATAACCCTTACAAATCTAATGGTCTCTTTCAGGATGTGGAGAATCTTATGGATTGGTGGAACACAGTGGAGTGTAAGTTACAGCTTTCTTTGGGCTTTTTATGAAGGATTTTTAGTATCGTCTTGAACCACTTGCACTATATGACCAAATGTATTTGGGCGTCCCTGTTAACATACTTGCATACAGTTATATTATAGATAATAGTGTTCTTCCAACTTTGTGGCACACAGTTTGGGGAAACTCTTTTCTGCACAAAGTCAGGTCCATTAAAAAAAAAAAGGTTTTCTGGGTTTAGTGCAGAAGAAATTGACTCATCTGCACCATCCAGCACCATTGGGATGAACTGCGAGCCAGACTTATCATCCCAACAGCAGTGTCACTAGCTGAATGTGAACAAATCCCTGCAGCCAGGTTCCAAAATCTGGTAGAAAAACTGAAACCAGAAGCGTGTTCTGGATGTTTTTGTGTCCACATACTTCTAGCCATGTAATATATGTAACATAATGAGAAAGCTAAATATCAATTCTTTATTACCTCCTCAGCTTGGGAAGACACGCCTCAAGATGATGACATGACAGAAAAAGAAGAGGCCAAGTAAGTGAATCCTCAAATAGTTGTGAATATAATATTTCACTCCAACATCTGAAATGTCTTCCATGACCCCAATATAATAGAAGAGAAGAGAATTTAATTTGTGCTGCTAAAAAGTGTGAAAAATTGTATTAGAAAAACTCCTAGAAACAATATCACCATTATTATAGTGGTAAGTAAGATAAAATGTCCTTTTTAAAATGCATTGATCTGTGTAACTCTTAACTTGCTCCTCTCAGGGCGTTTGCTCTGACGGCAGACAAGGTGCAGAAGGGCATTCGTGTCTTCAACAAACTGTTCTCGGAGCGTGCCGAGAGCCTCTGGCAGCACGTCATCGACCTCAACACCATCGCCGACGGCCTGGACAAGTTCAGCAAGAACACAAAGATCGCTCAAATCACCGGCGGCTCTACCAGCGCCATTGGAGGCGTGGCCACTATCGCTGGCCTTGCCCTGGCACCGGTCACCTTCGGAACCTCTCTGATTGTGACGGCGGTGGGATTGGGTGTCGCCACAGCGGGCGGTCTCACATCAGCAGGTGCCGGCATCTCCAACCAGGTCAACAACTCGATGGACCGCAAGAAGGTGGAGAAGATTGTGCAGGACTATCAGGAGAAGATGGTCGACCTCAACAAGTGCCTGAAATTCATCAAGCAGGGTATCGAGAACCTGAAGAAGTTCGACCTGATGAAGATGAAAGAAAGCGCCTACAACCGCGACTTCCCTGTGCTCAGTAGTAGCTTCTACGAGGATGGCGCCATGGCAGGAAAGGCGATCCTCATCAACGCCAATGAGATCATGCGTGTGGTGCAAATTGCCAACGTGGCGGGCAGCACAGCAGCCAGAGCGGTCCAGATCGCCAGCATGGCCACTGGCGTGCTCACCGGTCTCTTCGTAGGCATGGACATCTACTTTGTGGCCAAAGACTCCAAAGAGCTCAAGAAAGGGGCCAAGTCAGAGTTTGCTGCCAAAATCAGGGAGGTGGCTACGCAGCTGCACGACGGTCTGGTGGAGCTCAACGGGATCCGAGAGGAGCTGCAGTCCACCGCACCAGAAAACCAGGACGAAGGCAATGATACAGCTCCTTTGGACAGTGACAAGAAAGTGAAAGGTGACAAGTATGACAGTTCAGATGAAGATGAGATCGACCGCATTAAAAAAGCCATTAAGAAGGACATTGAGAGCCGAGAATATGTTTGATAGAAACTGGTACAAAAAGGCCTGAAACTGTGCTTCATCATTAAGTTTTTAACAATGGAAAGATTCAAGCATTGTCACTTTCTCACTTCCCCTATGAAACTCCTCCAGTGTTTTTGAAAGTACATACTCAAAACTCCAGCATACTGGGGCATTATTAGCATCTAAGAGGTGGTTGGTGCCAATTTCTTTGAAATGGAAAAACTGCAATCATTATTACTATGTTACATCTCCAAAGAGGGGTACTTCACTCTTGATGCAATACACTGGTTTCTTAATCTTCTGGACTTTTCTTTTAGGGAGCCGACTTCTTGAATCTAAAGACAGCATTTACACTACTGGGAGGAACTGAGGTTTTGTGGCAGATTAAGTATCAGATCTGCTTCTCTAGGCAATTGTGCCAACGCTTAAAACTGCCATGTTGTCTGTAAGAAAATGGGATTCAAAGATTGAATTTAATCATGTATTTTGTTTGTACAGTTGTAGATGAATTAAAGAAACACAATACTTTTACTGCAGGTGTAGAGATTGTGTATACTCTTAGGGATTAGTGCCTTTTATTCTTTATGAAGCATTAGAGATGAGAGTACGATGCGACGTAGCATTAGTCTGTTTCCTTACGTTGTTTTATTTGGGTGTACAGAGCTGCAACAAAACCCCACATCCCCAGCTTGAGGTTTTGGATCTGATGTGGGATGTTTGACAGTCTTGTTTGGCTTGATGACATTGGTCTCATTTTGAAGAATGATAGTAATAAGCTTTGTTTTTGATTGTTTTCATAAAGAGCCGATAAAATGACACAATTATAGAGAGAAAGAACAAGGATTGGGTTGAACCAACTGTGTGCAAAGTCTTACTAGCTGGTTTCAAACTATTGATTCACTAAACTGGGTTGTACCATTAAAATTTAAGGGATGTCTTGGCTCCTGAAGACTTTATTAAGGTGTAAATTGGCTGTTAGGAAACGTCTGTAGTGTCAAAAACAGGAGGTCACAAGCTCTAACATAACTTAAAACGTTATTTGGTCATTTTAAATAATTATTAAAGAGCCTTTTTATCAGGTGTCTGGTCAGATATGTTAACCATATGTCATATTATCTCAGTATAAACAGGTGCTACATTAGCAAATTAACGTTAGCTTTGTCAGTTGGTTCAGTGAGCTAGGCGACAGTTACGCCTGGCACCAGCTACCGGATGTGTACATTTAGTAGCAGCTAATCTCTATTTAAGAAATAGTTTTTGTGGGGCAACCTGTTTTAATTTAGTTATTTGTAAATCTTGGCTTAGTAAACACAGTAGAACCCGAGTGATATGCTATAATGGAGACCGATATGGTTGCTGATAATGAAAACAGACATTTTCTATGTGGATTGTGCACCGATATGACTATGCATAGGTACTCAGAAGGCTGCTTTCTTCAATAAATAACTTTATTAAAGAATATTTAAGTTAAATATTTTACATGTGATAACATAAGCCAACTGATACAATGGCCTGGTTCTACTTTGAAGTGCTGGTGCAACCGGCTCCAAAATAATACAACGAGGGGAAGACGCAAACTGAGGTGAACTTGTAGAACTAAATGGGGAAAAATGTTTTTTCTTTAAAGACTCCTGCAAGTTTAAATTGGTTTTCAATCACGTCTTCTGTCATTTTTGATGTTTTAGTGTTTTCCAATGGTTTTTAATAGTGTAAAATGGTCGATTATAAAACTGACGACACAAGACTTAAAAACCAGTCAGGATTGTGTCCGCCTGTCCCGGAAAGAACCGTTTGCGTATTTTCTTCTTATTACTCTATCTAATCTTTTAAAGCTGATGATGTCCGCTCCACCATAATGAACTTAATGATTTAATTTTCTGTCCAGTCTCGTTCTGGGTGTTGTTCATGCGATGATACCTCTTTATGTGCAATATGTTGTAGAACTCCATGTGTAATAAATGTACAATTGATAATTAAAGACCAAGAGAAACATTTTCTGTCAATCTGTGTGTTTTATAAAGTCTTTATGCAACAGAGCAAACACTTCATTTCCTTCTACCGACTACTTGTGCACTTACTGAGTAGATATTTGCTCAGTTAACAACCAAGATAAACTTGTCTGTCCTTCAGCGCTGTTTACTTCTCTTAAGAGATTTCCATGATGAATGTAGACGGAAGTCTGCAGGCTGCATATGTTAGGGCATTTCTGTCATCCTTTACATATACAAATTCATTTACAAATTGTATATCTTGAACTCAGTTACAAGACTAGGTTAAATTTATGTTGTGATTACAGTCAATATTTTGCCACTTTTTCCCAAAATATCATATTCAGTGATTTTTCGTATGGAGTGAGACAGATGAAACGTGGGTAATAACTTACAGGTGACATCTGTTTAATAAAATTGGAAGTCCTAGGTAAATAAAATGCATGTATTGATTTACAAATAATAATATTTAAAATAAAACAATGAGTGTTTCTACTTAATGCAGCTTTGATTTGAGAGGAAACCTTCACATTGGAGTGAATTACAGTGTTTAGACCAAATAAAACACAAGTATATTCAACAAGTTAAAGACTACTGTGACATAAAATCACCATTTTTTTAATCTTATTGCGGTTGCAGTATATTTTTCTGTGGTTTTACCTCAGAAAAAGATAAACAGTATTTTAATATTTTGCTGTGATCTAAAGATCTGAGAAATAATTTTTGCATTTGTAGGCTGATTCTAATATTTTTTAATACAAAATCTTTAAAGAATCAATGAAAACCAGGTAAACAAAAGAACATTATTATTATATTATTAGTCTGTATTGTTTGCCATGCTGTTGGTACATGAGGTAACAGTTGATTCAAGTCAGCACAAGTAGCATGTGCAGTTGTGTGTGCCAGATATGCAGCGACAACCATGCCCAACCAGAACAAACCTGCACTGTGCTGGAGCAGTGTCAAACAAACCACACTCAGGTTGTTGCTCTTTAAAGTGAATATATAAGTATTTCCATTTTATGCAACTTTATACTTGTACTCCACTACATCTCAGAGGCAAATATTGTACATTTTACTGCACCATGAGTTTTACTTTTCAAACTTTAAATTACTTATTTACTTAAATAAGGTTTTGAATACTTCTTCTGACACTGTATATAATATATAAGGTGTTTAGTGTTTTGTTCATCTGAATTAGTTACCCAGTTATTGTGGAGAAGTCTTAGTTTATGATTATTTATAGAGATAATATATTCAGAAAATATAAATCAGCAAAAGTAATAATGAAACATAGTGTCAAATGATCAGAAAAAGAAAAAGACAAAAAAAAAAAAAGACTATTACATTTCTATTTTTAGAGCAGCTCCCATCACGTTTGGGTTTCTATTTACGTGTTGTTAACACTCTTGAAACTGATGAGTCAGAATGACACATGCTGGGAAACGCGTTTCTTTTATTTCCACAGACACAGGTAGACCTTACACTGACCACGCCCCTCTCCCAGGTGAGTCCACCGCCGCCACAAACCCAGGACGCAGACACATCGCGCATCTTCTGCAAAAACCAGGTAAGATATTTGACTTTCAGCGCTGCCTTTCATCCTCGGTTGGAAATCTGATGACTAAGATCGTTTGTGCGGTTAGGAAGTCGCCTCATTATGTAACACGTGATTTCACTGTGAGGATTTGGGCCACAGAAGCTCTCAGGGCGTGTTTTAGTTTGTTTTAGATGCTTTGTTCGACCTGTAAGTACTGTTGTCTTTGGGTGGTGTCGGAAATATCTGGATTACTTAAGAGGTAAATACATGGGAACATGAGATGGACAGGTAGAGTGCATGTAGTTGTGATGTTAAGCTGCATCTACAGTCATGTGTTTGGTATTGGTTTTCATTTTCTGTAGCCTAGGCTACATAAATAATATTGCATACTTCTGTTGCACATTTATACATATTTTTGTGTGTTTCATTATTGTTTTGCACATTTTGTTTTTAAAGTCACTTTGCAAATGTCTTTTCTTTGATGCAGTGATTGTGTAGTTTGACATATTTCCAGATGAAACAGGATGTTGACACTAGGGCTGGTTAATAAAAGAACCAATGTGATACCTGTGTTTTGGCACTGAAATTAGAAATATACTGATATTAAACTATTAAACTAACTATTATATTAATTTAATCGCTGTATATAACTTAGTGTATTCACTTCACTCAGTTCATTCTGTTTGTGCTATTAATACTGTATATATCCTGCTAGTATATTCATATATATCTATATATCTATAATGTTTATTTTTTTAGATTCCTGTACATATGCACATTATTCTGCACTTTACTGCTTTTTGCACTTCTGGTTAGATGCTTAACTGCATTCCGTTGTCTTAGTACTTGTAAATAAATGTCAATAAAGTTTAATCTAATCTAATATTTATATATGTACATATACACAAATCAGATATACATAGTAAAATCAAATAAAATGCATTAACTCTCAGTGGGCCTGGTAAAGGGAACTGTGTTAGAAATTACAAGCAATGAAAAACTAAATAAATAAAATAAAAATAAGTGATCTTGACAGAAGCTTTTCTTAATTTTCAGTAATTTTTCAGTAATAAGTAAAGTTAAGTAATCAACCATATTATTCACTGTTAAAGTAACTCTCTCACTGTGATGTAAATAAACCCAACACTACTCACAATACTGTATGCAACAACAAAAACACACCAGCCAAAGCGGTTGAGTCGGATGTGACTTGAGAGTTGTAATTTCGGAGCTTTGTAGGAGCCCTTGAACGCCTCCTGCGTGCAGATGTTGTTATGTGGGTTTAGAAACTCCTGGGAATGTCCTGACAGTGGAGGAGCCCGTCTCTGCTCTCTGGTTGCACTTTATTCACCTCTAAACTGAATGTGAACTGTCTCTAAAGGTAGGTGAAACCGCTCAGACATCAACGTTTTATCTTTTTTATTGTTTCTGTTTTAAAGAACTCACCGTCAGAGTGCAGCTTTGAAATGTTTCAGTTAGCTGAAGGTTTCCAGCCTCAGGGACTCAGAGCAGTGCTGAGTTCAGACTGCAGTTTTAGGAAATGTGTATTGTGGTACTTCTCCAAATGCTTCATACAGTGAGTGACCATTGGAGGTGCAGCCTGAGTTTCTTCCTGTATTCATACTTTACAGTAATGTTTCTGCTCTACAGGCAGTAGTTTCTGATCAGTTGTAATAGCCCAGTGGTTCCCAGCATTTAGTCCTTAAAGGACCCCTTTTCTATCACTGACGACCACTGCTCCAGTGACATCTATTTTATTTTATATGATATTCAAAATTGTACAATTAACCCAAATACTGAACTGAGTAACTGCAAGAAGTTTGTGTCAAACAAGGGATTTTGATGAATTTTGAGTGAATTATTTCCTGTTTAGGGAACTTTGTATAAAATTCTCTCAATATAATGTATTTTCTTATAATTTTTAACAATTTGTTTGTTTATAAACAGTGTTTTATTGTTCCTGACTCTTGGCCATAATACTTTACTACTATTACTATTCATTTTTCTATACAGGCATACTGTGTATATCATTTTAGAAGAAGGCCTCACAACCCCTCGATTAAACTTTTGTTACCCCCAGGTTGGGAACCACTGCTATAAGAACCTAAGCTATACTATATACCTAAGCTATAAAGTGTTGACTTGTACTTTGAGGTGTACAGTTTTGAGGTACTTGAGAATTACCATTTCTTTTACTTACTTTACTGTTATACTCCATTGGTTTTCATTGTACTGCATACACTGCTGGTCATAGTTACTTTACAGATAAATATTTTGATGTTATGCTCATAAATATGATGGATTGCTAAGTGCATTATGCTGCTGATACTGTATTACTTTTATACTACTTATACTTATAATCCTTTGGTTTGTGGTATTTAAGGCTGCAACTAACAATTATTTTCCTTATTGAATAGTGATTTAATCTAAAAAAAGTAAATAAAAATTGTGCAAAAATTTCCCCAAAACCCAACATTTTCATATGACTTGTATCATCATTTTATTATTATCAAAGAAAACTCGGATTATTTGCAGTTTAAGCATCACAGGAGACATTTTGACCTGTCATAGCAGGAAATTCACTGGTGCTTAAAGATGGCTCTGTTCCATTTAGGTTACAGTAAGCTGTGACAGTAAGCCAGCAGGGACATGCACAATCCTGGCAACATTTAAAGCAATTACTGTTATTGTTTTCAAAAAGGCCTATTAACCTAAAGCTCCATAGGCAACAAGTGGATTATGGGAAACTTGGGGCTGTAAAGGATACAACAGTCCTCCAAACAGCATTTAAAGGAGCCTTGGTGCTCAATTCTGATTTATTGCTCATGTCTGATTTATAATTATTTTCTGAATCTAGCCACTGTCAGATTCCAGTGTGAAGTCACAGTCTTGAGGTGACCTACATGACAAATGTTGATCTAGTGACATAACAGTCACATGAATTCTTATATGACTGTTAACACGTTGCAAAAAATCATCACCTCTATATCTGATTTGGACCAAATGTGAAAGCAGCCCAGATTCCATGTGATTTGTGCTGTTCACACTGTCAAGAAAATTACATATGAGCAAAAAATAACTGATTTAGGTCACACGTGCCTGCAGTGTGAACATAGCCTTTGAATTAGGCCTCTTTCACAGCCGATATTTTACTCGTCACAATAGGAAAATCTCAGGTGTAAGTAATAACATTAATGCCCCAGTGAGCCAGAATACACAATACTGCAGCCGTGTCCCAGTTCTACACTTCATACTAATTCTAAGCAGGTTTGATGTTTGTTCACACTAAGTGGGAAACCAAATGAAGTGAATTCAAGAAGTTAGTATGAACACTGTTGCTGTTGATGCACCCTAATTTCCCATAATGCAATGCACAAAGGAAATGTAAGAGCTGCTCACAGCTGCAAAACATTACAAGAAGGTGGTGCAGGCGGTGGGTGGGTGGTCGGAGCTCAAGGAGGAAAAACAAGCTCTCTGCTTCATCCTGTGTTCACGTCTTATTGGATGGATGGAAAAGATTCTCATGTTTAAGACTTGTGAGCGTAGTGCGGGTAAAAAATACTGCATATTGATAATATATAAATATAAATAATACACAACTCAGCACAGTAACAGCTAAGTTAGACCGATATCACAACAGAAAAGATATGTATAAATAAATAAAAAACACCAAAAGCTAAATAATAATAGTAAACTTTATTTCTATAGTGTCTCTCAAAACCAGAGTTACAATAATAATATGTGCAGTGATGGCAAATAAAACCAAAATTATTAATAAAACCATTCATAATCCAAATGAATAAATAAAAAGGTGGATAAATATCTCTGGTACAAATACTCCAATCTGATTGGTCCTGTTTACACTTTTTCTCTGTTTCTGTCGCTCTTGCAGGCAGGATGGAGGCGTGTATGATTAAGCCAGAAGTCAAAAAGAAACCAAAGCCGGTGAGAACATTTACAGCTAACATAAAAAAGCTAATGCACAACAAATATTCTCTGAATGTAGAAAAACACAGATGAAAATACAACCTACAGTATATATAAGGTATAAAGACAATATACACTCCGGTTTTCTTCTCTCTGTCCACAGCCTAAACCTCCTCCAAAGCCTGCAGAGGTAATAACCTTTGATTAGCTATGTTAATGTCATCCTTACCTTTTTATATGTGACTTCAGGATGTTATTGTAAGGAAACACACTTAAGTAAAATATCTTTACAGAAAAAAAGAAATGACCCGCAGAGACCAACTCCTCTGCGGCCTCCACGACCATCAGACAATGTAAGAGTCTCTCTCTATAGACCGTTAGTGTTTCTCTTTCAGGATCTATAATGAAATTGTTTTATGTATCCCAGAGTTGAACTTCTACCAAGCAGGTGTGGTGGACCGTCATTCCTTAAAGCTCTGGTCCAATTTAAGTTAATTAATCTGGATTCCAGTGGAGAGGACTTTCCCTCCCTGTGAGGAACAAAACTGGGGAGTAATCCATCAAATCTATATAATGTTGATGACACAAAATAATCAGAAAGATATTGAATGTTGATACAAGCTGGCTTCTATTATTGACCACTGGGAGCTTCAGCACAATAATATCAGAGCTGATCAAATATTCTCACATTTTAGACGTCTTTGTGATGTCTTTTACAAGAGTCACTAAAGAAATAAGAGATAAAATAAGGAGAATGGGCCAAAATTTGCAAGGAAACTATAAAAGAAAACAATTTAAAATATTTTTTTACTAAAGATATTTGCATTCTTTCCTACTTTGCACTTGCAGTATTTTTCCTTCTGGATAAATAGAGTTTGCTCTTGTCTTATCTTATCTAAAAAGATTTGTGTTTTCCGGCAGGAACTGAGTCAGACACAATATCGGAGGAAAAAAACAGGAGCAACAAACACTGAGGTACTTACTGAATATGATGTTGTTGTTTTACATATATATGTTTTACTAGAAACCATTACAGAGAGACAAACACAAGAAATTAGAGATCAGGTCTTCATGTTAATCCGATATGTGAAAATATCCTGGTCAATTTTGAAGACATGTTGAACCACCATGATTCTACAGTAGCCCAGAATGGACAAACCAAACACTGGCTGTAGATCGGGCTGTTCATGTTTTTCAGGCATTTCGCAGCCACTGTAGTTTGTTGGAGCTGTGACATCCTGGCTAAAATATGAAGCTCAGAACCATAATGGATTTTTTTGGGTGATAAATAGTTAGTTTACCTGACATTACACATTACGTCACACACTGTAGACCATTCATGTGTTTTATCACTTTTTTCCATGTGTGTCAGACTAATGGAGACTTGATACAAAGAAAGACAAAAGAGGAACCGGTTGAAACTCCTGTGGTTCCACCCAGACCCACAGAAAAGGTACAATACACCAAAATGCACCATAATAACACTCAGTGCACTCAACTTCCTCACTTTCTCATGTTTAAAGAAAAAATATGGATCCGATAATTGAGTATTGTGTGGACATGTATTCAGTCAGACTTTTGTTGTCTGTAGTTTAGTGTGAGAACATTTTACAATAGCTACTTAAGGTTTCATGTTTCTGTTCCTGTTCTAAATATCTTTTGTTATTGTGCCCTCATTGTGTGTGTGTGTGTGTGTGTGTGTGTGTGTTGTAGGAACTGAACGCTACAACCAGATACAGCCAACGTAAGAGGGGACAAGCTGAGGAGAAACAGGTACAAACACAGTGAAATATATTGTTCCTCCTTACTTGTCTTACTACTTTTATCAATTGTTGGATCAACGTTCTTCCTCTTTATCATCAGAGCTCCAGAGAAACGGACCAATCAGAAGTTCCCAAAGATGAAACAGACTTCAAACAGGTATCAGCTGGAGATTTTAACTACCAGTTCTGCTATAATACACTATATATATATATAGTTTCTTCATCTTCCTTTACGTGCCCTTCGCCTTCGTTGTAGAGTAATCAGTTGGTCCAGACTGGAATGTTCCGACGGAGCCAAAAAGAAAAAACTCCTACGTCCACTGTAAGTGATGCATCTGCAGCACAGATGCAGCTGCTCTGTGCATTACATAGCCGACACTCAAGGGTTACATATGTTTATATGTTTATAAAAACATATAAGCAAGGAATCAATATAGCTGTGAAATAGATTTAAAAATTAATAGAAATGTGTGTGAATGTTTCATTCAGTGTTTCAGTTAAACAGGTTCCTGGTGGCAAATAGGTGTGTTTGGGTGTGTGTGTGTGTGTGTTAGAACAACTGCTGATTTTATCTGCTGGTTTGTGACATGTGACATGTGACATGTTTACAGGGTGTTCTGAAGGGAGGGTGTGTACAGACATGAAACAGAAAAGTGTGTATTTAGACATACAGTAGGTGTGTATCAGTTGATGTTGTAGGTTCAATGAATACACACTGCCATCAGACAAAAGAGAGCCTTTTCATTCATCAAATAGAAGAAGAACGTATGTGTGTATATAATGGGATTAATGTCATAAAGCAGAATGTGTTTTTAGGTCTTGAATCAGCTGCTGTTATCTTTCCTCCTCAGAGTTATGTGAATGACGAAAAAACTGATAATGTCCCAACCAAACAGGCTCCTGGCAGCAAATCGGTATGTCTGTGTGTGTGTGTGTGTGTGTGTGTGTGTGTGTGTGTGAGAACAATTGCTGATATTATCCGCTGGTTTGTGACATGTGACATGTGACATGTTGACAGGGCGTTCTGAAGGGAGTAATGAAAGGGTTGCAGTTCAAGTCGTCACCAAAGGTATGAGGCACAGTCTGGTTTGGTGTTTTCTGCTGGTGGTGGCTGCAGTATATCGCAACATCTGCTTGTGGCTTTTTAAAGTTCTTTTGTTTGCAGCAGTAGTTTTCATTTAAATGTGTTATCTATGGTTACAAAGAGGTTCAGACTTCCTGGATGAACCCTTGAGAATAATTCGACCTTTTATTTTCTCTGCTGTTTGTCACGTTAAAGACAATCAGCAGGGAAAATAAAGTGACTTTGCTCAGCTGTGCTTTAAGCTTCCATGTTGTTTACAATTTATATCTTAATGTGACCTGATCTTAAATGACTTTTTTAACTTCTGGGGTTTTGTTTGTATTTTTATTATTTATTTAATTATGTTTTTGGGTTGTCTGTCCATCCGTCTGTCCGTTCTTGTGAATGTGATATCTCAGGAACGCCTCAGTAAAATTTGTTCATATTGGGCACAAATAGCCATTTAGACTAAAGGATAAGCTGATTAGAATTTGGTTGTGATAGATCAAGGTCACTGTGACTTTTTTGTATAACTATAATCTATAAGAATCAATTTTTCCATAATATTAAAGTGCAAGTGTAATGCCACACATATGTATCCCCAATATAGTGATAACCAAAAAATATACTTTATACCTTTTTAATTAAATCCCTTCCAAGTAGGTATGCACAATAATTATCGGGATAAATTAGATACATTATTGGCCAACAATGTGAAGTTTTATAAGATGATCTTACTGTCAGTGTTTAAAACCTGCAGCTTGATAAATTGATACATGTGGCATTATGGTTCAGGTATTCAGGCATCAGTCCCATTTGGTTTTCCCAAAATGGTTTAATAACAATTTACATCCTATTGGTTAGAATTTATTAATTTTAGGATTTTAGGATTAAAATTTGCAAGAATTCTCAGTTAATAGCAAAGTTATCTGAAGCTTTTTGGACTTTTAACTTTTAAGACATTTACACATTGTAAATTTAACCCAGTATGTTCATAAAGCAGCTGTAAGTACAGATGGTTTCTGGAAGGAATAGGATGATCTTTATGAAATCGTAAGCACATAGTTTAAATCTTGGTGTCTTCTCTTGATGAAAAAATCCAGGATGATCATAATGTGCTGAAGATTGTTGATTCCTCTCTCAGGCCAGCAGAGAGCCGAGTCCAGATCCCAGTGTGGAGGAAGCCGGCTCAGAAAAGGAACAAACTGCAGAGAAAAACAAGCAGGAAAAGAACACAGAACCAAAACAGGTACAAGATTAACAATAGCATTTGACTGCATTCAGTCAGTCAGTTCAGCTTTTTCCAAACAAACAAACAAATTGTTCAATCACTGTTGTGCCTAATACTGTAAAAAACAGAGGAACAAAGTGGAAATGTACTCTTTTGAAAATCAGATTACTTTAAAAGCACGTTAAATACACAATAAATAACACATAGTATCATTATTTTCATATTTATATTTTCACAGTAGGCAGTATTCAATATTATTTGTGTATGGGAATCATTGGATGTGTAAATATCTGATTTATTTCTCAACATTTCGCTCAGGACATAGGAGGTCTGATCGCTGGAATGTTTCGGAAAACTCCCAAAGAGAGATCGTCATCTCCTTCAGTGACGGTAACATCAACTCTCATTTTGTGATTGTATATTTTCACTTTCAGTCTTTCCTTGCCTCTTACTCCATGTTCTGCTCGCTGGCAGGTCAGCAAAGCGGACAGTGATCCTGAAGATACAGAAGAAACTGAAGAGAAAAGTTCAGAACAATCCCACGTAGGTCTTACATGGGGTGCTTCAGTGTAATGGTTGATCCACGGGGAAGACATTTTTTAAGCCTTTTTAATGCAGATACACTTTCATTCATCTAATTTATTAGTCCACACAGACTGAATCTTGCTTTGTAGCACTAGTGAACCGTAATGTGGTGTTTAAATCAACAGTATCTTAATGGATCAAAGCTCCCACTATAGCCGTGTTTATATCATTTTTTTTTTTATTATTGTTATGTACATTTTGAAGTATCGCATTAGAACACTTTCTAGCATTTTAAATGCATACAAGAAATTTACTACATCAATAGTACCATGTAACCTTTACATAAGTACATTAAGGATAAATTATACATCTATCTATTTAAATACAATATATGTGTACTACAAAATATATTCATATTTTATATTAAATAAATATAATAAATATAAATATATATAAATAATTAAGAATGTAACAAAAGAAATCCCAATATGTTTTCTTTTAACATATTGTGAAGCCATAATCTTTTATTTGTGTTATACCAGGACACATTTAAAAAAAACAAGGGTATTCATCATTCCATGTTGTACTGTACTGTACACTGTACTGTTTTTTTACAGGAAAAGGGAGGTTTCTTCTCTGGCATCCTTAAAAAATCCAATAAAACAACAGATGAGACACCGGCACAGGTGAGTAGCAAAGATGGCTTCCGCCTCCTCAAAATACAACAAAAAAATGTGTGTGTTGATTCTTTTCTTGTGTTTATTCACTCTTCTATTATATCCCGTTTGTGTCGCAGGATAGTCTGAGTGTTAATAGCGAGCTGTCTGCCAGCAGTGACAGTCTGTCTGAAAACAGCAACAAGGTGAGCAGCTCAACAGTTAGATACAGTTATCTTTAATTACAGTGTACACACAGACCAGTAGATTGTCCTGCAAAAAGGTCCCTCATTGACCTGACCTTGACCAAAATAAATCCTCCGTAACTGATCCCGTGCTTGTGTCTGCTTTAGGAAAAAGGAGGAATATTCAGTGGGATGTTCAAGAAGTCTCCGAAACCAGCCGAAGCTGCTCAGACTGACGAGGTGAGGTGAAATCAAAAAGTTTGTATCATTAGTTTGATCCAGTGACCTGATGATCACATTGAACCATTTCCTTTTGTCTTTCAGGACCAACAGTCTCTACATGATCATCTATCAGGCAGCAGTGATAATCTGCCTGAAAACTCAAAGGTGAGCTCAGAAGTAAAGTGAAGTGAAGGTGGATTATTACAGCAGCATTATCATCATTATTATTATTATTATTATTATTATTATTATTATAACAGTTACTGACGTTGTACATTTATTTGTATGATGTCACCAGGAGAAAGGAGGATTTTTTAGTGGGATCCTACGGAAGTCTCCAAAGATTCCTGCAGAGGGAACAGCTGAGCAGGTAGAAATGGTTTTTTGGACACTTTTTTTCAGATGCAGCCTGATGCTGTGCAAATGCAGAGTTAGTGCAAAAACAAACGCAGTTTAGCATGTGAGAGTACATAAAAAGATTAGAGAGCAAACAAAGTAAAAGTGATCATTAGCAGGGGTCGTCACACGTCACAACTGACACATTATTTATCTTTGTTTTCAGGATAAACAGTCGCTGCAAACGGACCCATCGGACAGTAACGAGACCCAACAGGAGAACAACACCACTAAAGTAAGGAACCCAAAATGATTGGGCTGAGGAGAAACTCTCCATGCTTAAACCTCAACTCATCCGTGATTTCAAGACAATTTTTTATTGTAGCCCAAATTGCATGTTGGGAGTGAATTAGGAATTGACAAAGTTATGGAAACATGACAAATGGTGCTAAACTATGTTTGCCTCTGCTGCACTGTTTTCTGTTGTGCTCATTTTCATACACTCCCTTCAAAGAGGCTATACAAACTTTAGCTCTGCATATTTCTCTTATGTATCCACTACAAACTCCAAATAATCCAAGTTTAGACAAAGCATTCTCACAAGCTTACCAGTAACTTTTTCTGTATGTATCAGGAGAAAGGAGGCGTTTTCAGTGGCATGTTCAAAAAATCTCCCAAACTGTCAGAGGGCCCTCGACTGGAGCAGGTAGAACATTTTGATATTTAACGTCTGCAAAATATCAGCAAAACTTACCTTAAGTATCAAAAGTAGAAGGATTCATTGTGCAGAAAAATATTCCCTGTCAGTGTTTTATCATCATATATCTGATGTTTTTGGATTAATATTACTGCTGCATTGATGTTTATGTTTCATTTTACTACTGTTGTTGTTTAAAGTTGAGCTAATTTTAACTAATTAATATGCTGTTGAGTAGTTTAATCTACAGCAATGCAATCCATATGTTTGTAGGGTCACTGTCCAACTTGAGCTAAAAAAAACAGCCCTGGTTTCATCTTTTTCCAGCTAATACAGGAGGGTTTTAAAATAGTTTATGTAGCTGAAGAGGTAGGATCCTTTTCTCAACCCATAAAAGAACTCTTGATCCTTCAGTTTATCAGAAACATTCAAAAATACATGGTAGGAAGCGCATGAAATAATGTAATCTGTAACAAAAGTACAATATATGCCCCTGAGATGTTGTGGAGTAGAAGAACATTTCATAAATCATTTCCAATCTGTACTTAATTAGTACTTGAGAAAAGGTACTTAGTTACATTCCACCACTGCTTTTGAAGCCTTAAATTTAATGAATTGAAGGCATCACCAAACCTCCTGCCTTAACCTGTTTAGTGTCACTAACAAGTTTAATGTCTGCATGCATTTGCATTCAGCTTTCATGCTCTCGCAGGTTGAGTAACATTTTTGTTGCGTTCAGGGTGCAGAGTTGTTACACAGCGAGCTCTCGGCCAGCACTGATAGCCTGTCGGAGAACAAGGTGAGTCTTTGCGATAGTGAATTGACTCCCCACTGAAACCATGTGAGTCACTGTGACTAACAAAAGAAACATGTTTTCTGTAGGAGAAAGGCGGTTTGTTCAGTGGGCTCCTCAGAAAGACTCCCAAAACAACTGGAGAGGTACAGTTCCTCCAACACAAGTGTAGTTTACATGTAGACATTCAGAAACAGACCCCAAACAGCTGCTTTATTGTGCTCCATACATGGATTCACTCCAAAAACCAACTGCCATGATGCCGGTTTTTTTAACAGCCAAAACATAACATTAGACCCGGCAGGCTGGAGAAATCCAGAACAATGCCTTCATATAGTGGAGATGACAACCCTGACAACCTACCAATGTGTATCAGAGTAGCATCTCTACCATCTGCTGCTCTTTGATTATCAGCTGATAGAGATTTAACGTCAGTCCTACTGCCTGTTTTGCTGCCTGCACTCAAAATACCTGAATGATCACATTGAGTGCAGCTAATGTGCTCAAATACTGTAATCCAGCAAAGGTTCAAATATGACAGTGAAGTATTTAAGCACATTTACTTTCATTGTAACCCTTCCTCCTATTTCATGTAGAGCTGCTCTCTGACTTTAATTCTTGTTTCAGGAGAATCCGTTGGCACAGGAAGATCTTTCAGCCAGCAATGACAGCCTGTCTGAGGCTGGCAACACTAGGGTCAGTTCTTATTGTAAAAATACTCTCTGGCATCATTTAAAATCTGTCTGTTATTCACTTCATTTGAAAGGTGATAGATTATATGATTTTGAAGTTGAATATGATTCCCTGGTCCAGCTTCCAGGAGCAGATGAGATCAGTGAATGTTTCAGTTCAGTTATTTCCTGAAATCTAAACCTCCCGAGGGCAAACAGGGAAAATATGCAGCACACAGAGAAAGAGAAGCTGACAGTGCTCTTAGGAATCATCTGGGTTGTCACTATTTTCTATATACTTTTCTATATACTATTTTTGACATTATATAAACATTGTATCCATTAAAATAGCTTTAATTGAGTTATGATAGTGACCAAAGTGTGCACAAAGCCTAAAACTAACCAGTTTATTTATACAAATATTGAATCTACCTTATTTTTCTACCTTGTTTACAGTTTACAGACACATACATTTAATCTAGGGTTATGTGAGAAGATATGGTTTGTATTGTATACATTTTCTATACATGTCTTTTCATGTATTTGTGTAATGGATCCTTCCTGTGTCTGGAAGAGGGAATGTAAATCTGAAGTATAAAATAAATAACCCTCTGTGTTTCAGGAGAAAGGAGGTCCGTTCAGTGGAAAATTCAAGAAGTCGTCCAGACTTGCAGACGGTCCTCCCACAGACGAAGTGAGTAAATCAGTTGTTCAAGTTCCATGTTGCCAAAATGTCTGGTCTCATGGTCGTTCAAATCCCAGAACCAACACAAAAAAAGCCTTGAAACCGTTTATCTGAGGTAGCAACCATCAAGATCCTGATGCATCTCATCTTATGATCAGTTTAGTTAATAAATAAACTAAACAATAAATAAGCAACACTCATTAAATCTATTGTATTTGCTGTGTGAAATAGTGCCTCTGCTCTTTTCCCCCATGTTTTATTTCATAATTACAATTATGACATTAGTGGAGGTGGTCTATATTTCTGATGAAGTGGACCGTGTATGTTATAAATACAGTGGTATGAATACAGTTCTTATTCTCAGTATTAACCTGTGAGAGGCCTTTAAAAGAGGACTGCACTGATTTAACGTAACAATCCTATAAACCTTGTTGGACTTGTGATTCACAGAAAAACAATGTTTGCAAGTGCAATAGAACCAGAGATATCATCTTTTTTATTTTATGATTCTTTCTCCTTGTTAAAACATGTGGCCTGCATTACCCACAATGCAACTTGACAGGACATTTCGGTCAGAGATGCAGGTGTTTTATGATTATAGCAGCTAATGTAGCCTCGAGCAGAGATGAGAAGCAGGCTACAGACGTCACACATACGTCCAGATGGTTTTCATTTTTAAACTTACAGTCTTTGAGGCAATCAGACTTTGTGCAGCTCAAGAGTTGATTCATATGTAGTTGTGCTCCCCAAGACCTGTACACCACCTTTAACATGTAAAATTAGTGGAGTTCCCCTTTCCTAAGCTGTAAAGAGCAGTGTTTGTGCTCACTGTTTAAAGTTTAAAGGTCTGTAGTGTGTCACCGGTTCTGATTGTTTTTATCTTTTCTCAGGAAAAACAGTCACAAGATGATGAGCTTTCAGGCAGCACTGAAGCTCTGTCTGAGAACACCAAAGTGAGTTTGTATTTTGAATGCATCATTTAGCAATGATCCTGAATAACTTCACTGTATGAGCGAGCACTCATTGTCTGAATATGTGTGTTTTTAGGAAAAAGGAGGAATATTCAGTGGATTATTCAGGAAGGCTCCAAAACCTGCAGAAGCTACAAAACCTGAGGAGGTAAAAGTGTCTTTTCTTTGGATGTATCGACCTGCTTTTTTACCTTCACATTTATGTTTTCAACATTTAAGGGGATGTTTGGAAGTCTTTTATGATAATATTTAAATTGTAAAGCCACAATAACTGTTTATTAGCAGGATATCAGAAAACCTGCTGACAGATTTCTATTCAGATTTGGTGGAAAATTTATAAAATATATATAAATATATTTAAAAACGTGATTGTGATGGCACATGTATGATTTAATAACTATGTGTATACTATTGCAACACCATTCACAGACTAATTTATATCAATAAAGTAAGAAGTTCCAGTAGAAACTGATTAATTATGATTAGTGATCCAAAAGATTTTTTACCAGAAATATTCTGTAAAATGGTGTCACTTTATTTCTTATTCTCAGCCACAGTTTTAAAAACCTTTTGATACATTTTTACAGGACGAGTCTCCCGACAACGAGCTCTCAACCAGCAATGAGAATTTATCTGAGAACAAACAGGTCAGTGGGTTAAAATCCAAGATCCTTGATTAGTTTTCAACAAAACAGTAGTTTGATTTGTAAATACCCTAAAGCCTTTTTGTGTCTATTTCATCAGGAGAAAGGTGGACGGTTCTTCAGCGGACTCTTGAAAAAGACCCCTAAAGCGTCTGGAGAAAGGACAGAATCACCGGTGAATTATTGTTTCCTGGATGTGTGATTAGTTTCTATGTTTCTAAATTTCACCAATTCATAAAACATTAATTTCTGTGTTTCAGGACAGAGAGGCTCAGAAAGAGCTGTCGGCCAGCAATGACGACCTGTCTGACACTGACACCACAAAGGTGAGCCGAATAATGCAATGTAGATGAAAGTCTTCAGAGGGAGCGTTCACTGACACCACTCTATTTTACAGGAGAAAAACATTTTTAGCAACATGTTTAAGAAGCCGCAGAAACCAGCAGAGGGCGCTGCAGCTGACAAGGTACTGTGATTGAACTGATTACATTATTTCCCATTATGGAGGATGGAGTACATATTGATCATCACTGTCTTCTGGTTTGAATTCAGGAGCTGGAAGTGAACAGTGAAAATCAGTTATATGGTAGCTGTGAGAACCTGCTAGCAGACGCTAATGTCCCGAAGGTACTTCAGTCTTTAAAATATCTCTTCCAGGTTTCACCATTGTGAGCATTTTCTGCTTTTCTTTGACTTATGTGACAATAAACTGAGAATCTTTGGGTTTTGGACTGTTGAGTTTATGGACATTTTCATTTTTTCTGACATTAGATAACCATTGTATCCATTAAAATAGCTTTAATTTAGTTACGATACAATCAAACTGTGCACAAAGCCCCTAAGACTAACCCGCTTATTTATAAAAAAAATTCAATCTACCTTATTTTTCTTACAGTTTACAGATACTTACATTTTATCTACTTTATGTGAGAACAAATGCTGTGTATTGTATACATTTTATATAATATTTTCTTCATCCCTTTTCCTCTAAGAAGTTAACTGTCTCTCTGTAGTTATATGAGGGAGCGTTCACTGACACCACT